TACCCACCCTGTGAGGTCCTACTGCTGTTGCCGTTTGGTACATGAGGAAACTGAGGCACGGAGAGCCAAGGTCACTTCCCAAGGTCACACAGTAGTGAGTGCTATAGCAGCATTCAGACGCAGGAGCCACCTGCCCACCTGCCCTCGCAGGTACGCTGTGCAGGCCGCCTCCGCCTGCCCCCACCACCCCTGCCTCCCACGCTCACTCTGGGCTGCTGGGAGGGTCACTGGAGGCCGTGACTGTGACATTGTAGTGGGAGGGCTCACGACTGTGGCCTCACAGCTCTGCCATCCAGGCAGCTGAGGGAGGTCTGCCCCCAGCACGCCCCCCGCCCGCCTGGCTCTGCCCTCCAGGGTCCTACAGTCCTGTCCACTCTGCCCAGAGCAGCCCGTGGGGACTTGGAGGTGGCGACGCCGCACTGAGCAGCCGGCTCCGGCACCCGAGCCAGGTTCTCCGAGGTCTGTGAGGAGAGCAGGCGTATCTCCCCTGATGTAGAGCTTGTGTCCCCCATAAATCATAGGCTGGTCCTGGCTGACTGCTGGCCTGAGGGACAGAGGGCGGAAGTGGCCTCCTGATTATCAGTGTCCTGCCCTTTCAGGGCTATTAGCAGCTCAGTCAATAGCCCATCAGTCTGGCTAATGCCTGTTAATGTGGGTCCTCAGCACAAAACCCTCTCAGGCACAGAGCAGCCTGCGGCCTTGTGGGCTGGGCCTCTGCTCTGAGGCCTGAGGAGCCCAGCTCAGCTCTGGGAGCTGTGTCTGAGCCGTCTGAGCGGTGCCTGGCCCTGAGGCATCTCCTGGGCTGACCTGGGAGCTGTGGTCTGAATGGGGCCCTGGGCACTCTGCCTCCTGTCAGCAAGGCCGGCCCACACTCAGCTCTTCCGAGGCACCCTCAGGGCAGAAATTGGGGCATGGCCCTGGGCCAGTGTAGAGATAAAGGCCCTGAGAGCAACTGGGTGTGCCAGGGCCCAAGACCCAGCACTGCTCATGCCCTTTGACCCAGGAAAAGATGCCAGAGAAGGGAAAGGCTGTGTGCAGGAGGGGAGGCAGGACACTGACTCAGAAAGGGCTGAGCTACCTCCGCACCGTAAGGGCCCCACAGCTCACCGCCCTGGGCTTGGCCCTGCACACAGGAGCTGGGCAAGCCCCTCTTCCAGCGGGGGTCAGGGAGAGAGTGGGGGAGCCCCTAGGCAAGTCCCTCCTCCAGCAGGGGTCAGGGAGAGAGTGGGGGACCCCTAGGCAAGCCCCTCCTCCAGCAGGGGTCAGGGAGAGAGTGGGGGACCCCTAGGCAAGTCCCTCCTCCAGCGAGGGTCATGGAGAGAGTGGGGGACCCCTTGGGCAAGCCCCTCCTCCAGCAGGGGCCAGGGAGAGAGTGGGGGACCCCCTGGGCAAGTTCCTCCTTCAGCGGGGGTCAGGGAGAGAGTGGGGGACCCCTAGGCAAGTCCCCCCTCCAGCGGGGGTCAGGGAGAGAGTGGGGGACCCCCTAGGCAAGTCCCCCCTCCAGCGGGGGTCAGGGAGAGAGTGGGGGACCCCTAGGCAAGTCCCTCCTCCAGCGGGGGTCATGGAAAGAGTGGGGACCCCTTGGGCAAGCCCCTCCTCCAGTGGGGGTCAGGGAGAGAGTGGGGGACCCCCTGGTGGGGCCTGCCATCCGCAGGGCTGGAGCTGTGCTGGGTTTTACCACTCCTGGTCTCTCAGAGCCCTTCAAGTCCTGCAGTTTTATAACATTTTTGGCTAATCCTGGAAGGACCCGCCTTTTCAGAAAGTCTGGAAGTTTATCTTAAACTAGAGACCCAACGCATGAAATTCATGAGTGGGTATAGTCCCTAGGCCTGGCCTGCAATCAGGGCCATCTTCCCTAGCTGCCCGCAGCTGGCCCCACCCCCCACCGCCACCCACCCCCATTCCGAGTTTGCCATTGGGTGATCGGAGCTGCTTGTGGGGAGGAGGAACTGAGAGGTTGGCTGTTCTGCCTGCTCACCAGCCCCGCCCCCACCGCAGGTCGCCCTCTGTGTGTGGGGTGACTGGTGGGGTGGGGCCTTGGCCTGGTGCCCCCTGCATCCCCCACCACCCATCCCCGATTCCCCATTCGCCATCGGGTGACTGGAGCCTGCCAGCTGGGGAAAGGGACTGAGAGGTGGTCAGTGGCCTCATAGTGACTGGTCGAGCGGTTGTTCTGGTCATTCCGTCATTAGGGTCAATTTGCATATTACCCTTTTATTATATAGGATACCTTTTTATTTTCAAATTTATAGTTTTTATAGAAAGTTTGGGGGGAAAATTTTTTTTAAGACATAGAAGATGGTAAAAACCATTCATTTATCCCACCATCTAGAGATAACCATTAATAACATTTTGGAGTATTTTTGTCCAGTTGTTTTTTCTCAGTTTTGATATACACATGGACGTGCGTACACACCCACACACATACACAGAATAATAGCTGCTCTGATTTGAGCACTGAAACCCGTTGGGACATCACCAGTCGGCTTTCCTCTCACAGTCGCTCACTTTACCCCCATAGCAATCCTGCCAGGAAGAGATGATTATTCACTCATTTTATAGATGGAAAAGGTAAAATTTGAGCAGACACGATCAGGTTTCAGTTCTTGAAAGCTCACCTGATGACAGCGTGCAGGACCAGAGCCTGGGCGAGGGGTCCACGGCTGGACCCCCGGTGCCGTGCAGACCTGAGCCAGGGCCCGTGGGCGCAGGGTTCTCGCTGCAGGGCCCTGGCTCCAGGTGCTGCCCCTGCTGCAGGGGGCGGGGAGCACGCCCTCTCCTCCCTGTCCAGGGACCCTGTTTTTCAGCCGTGGAGAAGGCAGGACCAGCAGAAAGAAATGGGACTTTAGGCCGCCTCTTCACACATCACTATCAACACCTGTCCAAATTCTTTCGCGCTCTCTCTCTGAATGGGTATGTGAGGGTATATTTTTTCTGAATTCTTTGAGGGTATGTTCCATACATCTTTGCCCTCTACCCCTAAGTACTTGAGTGTCTTTGGGGATATTCTCTAACATATCCACAGTACGTTATCAAGTTCACATTGCAATCGTACTTTAATCCACTGTCCATTTTCCAATTTGTCAAGTGACATCCTTTATAGAGTCCCGCCTCCAGTAAAGGACCCGTTCCAGGTGAGGTGTCTGCTACCCTTCTCGAGGGGGGAGAGCTGAGCGGGGCAGTGTATTTCTGAAGGAGAGCCCAGGACCTCCGCCTCTGTTTGCAGACCTACTATGATGCATGCATAAAGCCCCCACAAGCCAGGGACTCGGTTGTCTGTCTCCCAGTTTGCCTGGCATGGCGGGGAAGCCCTGTGTCTGTTCTCATAGCAGCTGCCCTCCTGCGGTCTTATTAAGCAAGGTCAGAGACCACCACGGTGTCTGCTCAGCCTCGAGTGGGCAGTCGCAGGATGTCCCACGGGGCGCAGTGCCCCCTGCAGGGTTGGGGAGGTGCAGGGAGGAGAGGGGTGGCTATTCCCTGAGTTCACCCTGTCTTGAAAGTTCCTTTTTTAAAATCCTGAGACTGTTGGCTCTGCGAGGTCAAATACTCCGTCTTGTGCTCACCCAGCACCTCGCAGAGTGCTGTCTCCTAGGTTCCTCCTAAAGATTTGCTGAATGAAGAGATGTGGGCCCGTTTTCCTCTCAGCTGTCTCTTTCACTCTGAGAGCAGTTGGGGGGCATTCTGGTGGGTGGGCTCCCGAACCCGAGGCCGATGGTGCGTGTGGGCCACGCTGCACGGGCGGGCGGAGGGCCTGGCCCTGCTCCCTGTGCTGCCGGGACCGTGCAGTGCAGGGTGTAAAATGAGTGTGCTGGTCGCTGCCAACTCCCTGAACCCATGCGGTTCTATGCCTGAACCCACGTGGCACCCCATGGCCCAGGAAATACCCCAGTGTGTCATTGGAGAGTGGTTGGAATTTTCAGCTTCAGGGCTTCATGCCATGCGCTCTGGGGCCTGGGTGTCCCCCGCACCTGCACAGGAATTCTCATCAGGAAAGGAGAGAGGTGAAGGGGAGGTTCTTTCTTTTTAAGTGAACTATAATTCACATACCATAAAACTCGCCATTTTAAAATGTAGAAGTCAGTGGGTTTTAGTATTTTCCATGGTTGTGCATCCATCACTCTCTAATTTCCAAGTAGCTTCATCACCCCAAAAAGACACCCAGTACCCATTAGCAGTCATTCCCCATTGCCCCTCCCCGAAGCCATTCACCTGCTTTCAGTCTCTGTGGCTTTACCTGTTCTGAACTTTTCATATGCATTTAGTCAGGGTTTTGTTGCCAGGTACCAGAGGATGTGATAATGAAACCACCTCTGGTGCATCATCTCAGTGGCTTTTGATGTCTGACTGATTCACTCAGCATGTTTCCAATTTCATCCATGTTGTAGCATGCATCGGTACTTCATTCTTTTTTGACTGAATAATACCCCGTTGTATGAACACACTGCCTTTTGTATACCCTTTCATCTGTTGATGGACGTTTGGATTGTTTCCGCCTTCTGGCAATTTTGAATAATGTTGCTGTGAACATTGATGTACAAGTTTTTTGTAGACCCATGTTTTCATTTCTCTTGGGGATATACCTGGAAGTGAAATTGTAGGGTCGTATGGTAGCTATGTTTACCCTTTTGAGGACCTGTCAGACTGTTTTCCAAGGTGGCGGCACCAGTTTTGCCTCCCCACCAGCAGTGTGTGCAAGGAAATGTCCTTTTATCGAACGCCTCCTATGTGCTAGGCACTGCGCCAGACCCTTTCCACACCTCGCCTCCAGGACCCTCACACCAACCCTGTGTCCTTTTACTGAGGGAGACACTGAGGCTCAGAGCAGGGATGTGACTCCCCCAGGTCACACCGGGAAGAGTGGTGAGTCCCAGAGTCACACCCAGCTCTGCCCCTTATGTTTCCCTGTCTACTCAGGGATTGCTGACTGAATGAGTGACCGGCAGATGCTAAAGTGGAATTAGCCCCCTCTCCCCTCACTCCTCCCGGGCATTGTTTTGCAGACAGGAAAGTTGGACCCCCACTACCCAAAGGTCTGCGGGCACAGAGGGAACGTCTTAGACATCAAGTGGAACCCTTTTGACGACTTTGAAATCGCCTCTGCTTCTGAAGATGCCACGGTGAGTATCGGCACATGAGGCTGTTCCCTGACCAAAAGGGGTGGGATTGGGGCAGAGGGAGATGGAACTCAGCTCTGATGCTCCTGATTCCTTCATTCTTCGTGAGGTGAGGCTATGGTGTGGGGAGGGGGGTCATTTAGATTTTGACCTTGGGGCATGGCCCCTCCTCTCCATGGGCCTCAGTTTCTCCACCTCTAAAATGGGCATAATAGCTCCAGCTGCCTAATGAAGATCCAGTGAGATTCATGAATTCCATTGGGAAAGTTCCTCTTTTGGGGGAACTCTAAAATGCTATGAGGAGCAATTTTATTCTGGCCAGAAAATACTGTGCCACTTTCAAAAAGTAGTGAAGCAAATTTTAAAAGGATTAGGGTGGGAACCATATATGAATATAGACACCAAAACCACCCCAAAGCTTCAGTCCCACCAACTTTTTTGAGCTCCTGTTCTGTACCAGGGACCTAATCCCTGTACCCACAATGTTCAGTGTTATGTATAATTTTTTATTCTAGGCCACTTCTAAAATGTGGTGGGTATAGCTTAAAACAAAAGACACAAATATGATCAGGTGATTCAAGTAAGGATACATTTCATAGTTACCATTTATTGTGAGCCCACTGTGTTCCTCACTGCACATACCATTTCACTCGGTCTTCCCTTCACAGCAACCTCACAAGGTCGGACAATTTTCCGACGTGTCGAAGCCGAGGATCTGAGAGGTACCGCTATTTGCCCTACATCACACCGTTTGTAGAGGCAGAGCCAGACCTCAAACTGAGGACTTACTTCTGTTCCCACTGCACGATGCCAGTTCTCTAAAGTGCAGCAGCCACAGATGGAGGAAGTGAGGAAATAATACTAGAAACGTTGGCAATGGAGGGTGGCAGCTACTGAGCGCTAGCTTTAGCTCAGAGCTGCCTGGCAGCCCAGGCAAACAGGGAAATAGAATGCACTGCAGAACCCTCACTGTCTGATCAAAGGAAACACACCAGTTCATCAGGACAAGCAGGTAGAAAATTCTAAGTTTCCATAGAGGGGATGCTGAGGAACATAAAAGGGGCCCCTTCAGAAGGGCCTGCCCTGTCCTGCTCCAGAGATTGTGTTGGCTGGCTCCCTAGAGCCTTGAAGATTCAGCACAAACCCTTCCTCCTGCCATTCAAGGCTCCACCCTGGGCCTTTGAGACAAGGGGCAGGAGGAGACCACTGTACTTTGGGGGATGTCCTATGCTGGAAGGCAGATTTGCTCTGACACCCAGCCTGAGAGTCAGGCCTGTGGCCCATCTTCCCACCCACTACCTCAGGTCATTAGGATGCAGAGATCACCGGGGGGCAGGGTGGGAGGCCTGCACTCATCTCTGGTCAACGCCAGCCCCTGCTTGGGCGGGAGGACCTTGACAAAGCCCGTCCCTCTGAGGTGCCCCAGCTGCCCCTCCACTGAGTGAGAGGTGGATGCAGAGCGAACACCCCGTCCCTGCTGCTGGCCACTGCCAGCTCTTAGGATGGTGGGGTGCCAAGACCGAGCCCGGCTAACACTCCCCTGGGCCATGTACCCCCGACAGATCAAGATCTGGGCCATCCCCAAGCAGCTGCTGTCGAGGAACTTCACAGCCTACAGGAAGGAGCTGGTGGGCCACGCCCGCAGAGTGGGGCTGGTGGAATGGCACCCCACGGCGGCCAACATCCTCTTCAGCGCCGGCTATGACTACAAGGTGGGTCCGTGTGCAGCTCCCTGGGGCTGCCCGAACAAACGGCCACGCCGAGTGGCTGAAGACAACGGAAAGGCACTCCCGCACAGTTCCGGAGACGAGCCGCCCTAAATCCAGGTGCGAGGAGGCCGGGCCTCCCCCGGGGGCTCTGAGGAAGAATCCTTCTGTGAGTCTTCCAGCTCCCAGTGGCGCCCGGCACGCCTTGGCTTGTGGCCGCATCGCTTCAATCTGCCTTCGTTGTCACATGGCCTCCTTTTCTGTGTGTCTGGGTGTTTTCTCTTCTTTTTATAAGCCAGCCCAGCTGGTGTGGCTCAGTGGTTGAGCGTCGACCTATGAACCAGGAGGTCATGGTTCAATTCCTGGTCAGGGCACCTGCCTGGGTTTTGGACTTGGCTCCCAGTGGGGGGCGTGCAGGAAGCAGCCGATCAATGATTCTCTTTCATCATTGATGTTTCTATCTCTCTCTCCCTCTCCCTTCCTCCCTGAAACCAATAATCGAAAAAAAGGACACCAGCCATTGGATTTAGGACCCACTCAGAGCCAGTATTCCCTCATTATAACTAATTACATAAGCAAAGGCCCTATTCCAAATAAGGCCACATTCTGAGGTTCCCGGTGGAAGTAAGTTTGGGGAGGACACTGTTCAACCCAGTATTTTGCCTGGAGGGGTGGGCTGGGCCCTGTGGAGCGGGAAAATCCATGGTGAGGGCGACTGAGGTTCTATTCCGACTCACCGCGGACCTGCAGTGTGACCCGGGAAAGTCTTTGTCTTCTCCAGCCTCAGTGTCTCAATCTGTACACAGATGGAGTTGGTGTGACCACAGCTGTGGTTTCTAAACTCTTCCCTTCACAGCTCTATAGGGCTTTACTGAGGCAGCTGAGGGGCCTCTGTGCTGGATAAAATGGGAGCAGTGGGGAGGGCCCCCTCCCCTTCAGACCAGAGTGCTCTTTATCTGTCTAGGGCGGGGCGGGTGTCTGCAGGGCGACAGCTTGGGTTGTGCAGGTCCTTCTGTACACAACGCCAGGGGGCACTGTTCACATCACAGGCTGTGGGAATGGATTGCCCTGGAGCTGTGCGGCACACAGCCTGTGCAACCAGACATGGCCGTCCTGTTTGTCTGTGCGAGGTGGGAACTGCTGTTTGAAACCCCCTGGACTCGCTGGTCCCCCAGGTCCTCCTAGCGTGGGTGTTTCATTGCTCCCAGGCACAGGCAGATGGTGTTGTTTTTTTTCGCGGCCAAGACAGCCTGACTCCCCTCTCCCCTCCCACCACGTGGCAGCTTCCAGCCGCAGATCCATCCTCCCACCGGAGGCCTCTTGGCCAGACTGCCATCTGTGGCTTCCCTCCGGGGGATACCATGTTTCACTACAGCCCGGCCGGCGTGTGACTGGGGGCCAGGGGCGGGGAGGCCACTGTGCTCAGAGCTGGCTCTTTGCCGCGCAGGTGATGGTCTGGAACCTGGATACAAAGGAGTCTGTAATCATGAGCCCCGTGAAGACAATTGACTGTCACCAAGACGTGATCCTCTCCATGTCCTTCAACACCAACGGCAGCCTGCTGGCCACCACCTGTAAAGACCGCAAGATTCGGGTTCTCGACCCCCGAGCAGGGACCGTCCTCCAGGTCAGTGCGAGGCTGGAGTCTGGCTTGGGGTCAGGGGAGCAAGGAGTGGAGTGGAGATGGTGGAGGCTTCTGAGAACAGGGCAGTAATGCTGTTCATTACAGTAACGTAAGTTCCGCCCAAGCCTTCCCACGTGTTATCCCATTTTTCAGATGAGAAAACTGAGGCTGAAGAGAGGCTAAGGGACACGCCCACATCGAAAGCTAGTATTGAACCTGGTCTCACGCCAAAACTTGTCAGTGTGCCCCAGCTCCGTCAAAGCGCATGACATGGGTCGGAGACCTCAGGGTACCACTGCTGATCCACTATGAGACATGACCTTGGGCTGCACTTTTAGGTGGCCAAGCCTCTGTTTCCTCATCTGCAAGAATGGGCTGTGAGTCTCTCCCCTCAGAGCATTAAATGAGATAGCCCAGCCCCATGCTTTGCATATAGTGGGTGCTCAATAATCTTTCAACAAGAGCATGGAACTGGGCAAACATTTGCCTCTTGCAGCTCAGAAAAGTAGCCCTGGAAGGATTCTCCAGGCAGAGTTGGGTGAGGAAGGAAGGCATTGCAGGTGGAGCAGCAGCGTAAGCAAAGGCAAGGGCGTCCCTGACCGCACATGTCCCTCCAGGAAGCCAGCTACAAGGAGCACCGGGCCAACAAAGTGCTGTTTCTGGGGAACCTGAAGAAGCTGCTGTCCACAGGCACCTCCCGGTGGAACAACCGGCAGATTGCCCTGTGGGACCAGGTGAGTCTCCCACACAACGCCACCAGCACCCCCATCATCGCTCCTCAGCTGAGTTCTGGCTTCATTCACTCACTCATTCGCTCACTCACTCATTGATTGAATGTATTGATGAATAACAGGAAGATGCCAACAGCCTGATGGCACAAGCCCAGACCTTGTGCATCCTGTCGTTCAAAGAGGGAGGCTGGTCAGGACGGAGGATAGGGAGGGACACGTGGCCGCGTCTGGACCAGGACTGGGTGGAAGGGAGGAGAGGGCTTCTGGGCACAAGGAACAGCTGGAGCAGAGCTTGGGACGAAGGCCTGAGGCAAGTGGGCAGGAGGAGCTGCATGTTCGGGGCAGGGGTGCAGCCGGGGAGGGGGGAGGGGGAGGGGAGGAGAGGGGCAGGTCAAGCAGTGTTGATTCAAGGAGCACTTGGCCGGAGTTTCAAAGACCAGACAGATCACTTCCTTCTCTCTGAATCTCCTTCATCTATAAGAATAAATAACAAAACAGGTGGTGGAAGGCTGGAGTGAGATCAGGTGTGTGAGAAGTCATTCATTATGGGCAAAATGCTGCAAAATATGAGGTGGTGCACTCTCTCACACACACACTCACATACACACACTCAGTCTCTCTCACACACTCACATACACACACTCAGTCTCTCTCTCACACACACACACACCCATCCAGAGCCCCGTGGCAGGAATTCTTAGCTCAGAGAGCACCACCGAGGACCCCAGGAGTGACCTGGCCCCCTTCCCTTGCAGGACGACCTCTCCGTGCCTCTCACAGAGGAGGACCTGGACGGCTCCTCCGGCGTGCTGTTTCCCTTCTATGACTCCGACACCAACATGCTCTACGTGGTGGGGAAGGTCAGTCTGGCCGGGAGGAAGGTGGCCTCATGGAATCCTGAGGCAGGAGGCAGAACTCCCCTAAGCCTAGCCCTACTGGTGGCCAGACGGCAGCCTGGGGCCCTTGGGGTGCAAGGCAGGGGCAGGGACAGCCCCTTTCTCCCACCTTCCTGGCTCCCAAGAGCACCTGGGCCCAGGGCTTAGGCTAAACACCCTGCACTGGTTTCCCCCTCCCCCAACTCTGGGTCCAGATGAGGAGGGACCAGTGGGTGTGTCTCACAGGGGCACCTTCAAATTGGGGGCAGAGCAGGTCTTCATTGGGTAGGTCTCCCATCTGTCTCTGGCAGCCCTGGCCTTACCCATCCATGCCAGCAGCAGCCTCCCCCACCCTGCCCCACAGTCACTGTGACAGAAATGCTCCTAGAGGTGAGACCCACTGGCTGGTCTCAGGACGCACCGCTCTGGCCCTTGTGTGCAGCTCTTGGACGGGGGTGGGGTTCCAGCCTGTGCCCCAGAGCTTCTGCCTTGGAGACACCCGGGTGGGCTTTGGGTCATGGTTGGGGGGACAGAGTGTTAAAATGAGGCCCCTCCTACTGCCTTGGTGACAGTTCCCTGGTGTTCCCTGTGTGTAGTAGGTAATACTATGAACACCAGGTTCCTGCTGCATGGCAGAAGGGGCAGGTGGGGGCTGCTGGGGACCGGCTCTGAACACACCCTCCTCCCCCTCAGGGAGACGGGAACATCCGTTACTATGAGGTGAGCGCCGACAAGCCTCACCTGAGCTACCTGATGGAGTACCGCTCCTACCACCCACAGAAGGGGATCGGTGAGTGTGGGGCACCCAGGCCACGTGGGACCTGGGGGGACAGGGACGAGTCAGGTTCCGGCCCCGCCTGGAGGGGCCCACACTCGGGAGGGGAGCTGGTGGGTGAACAGCCTGGCTCGGGGGAGCTCTGGTTAGGGGTGCAGGAGGTTCTCTGGGCGGCTTCCTGAACGAGGCAACATTTGAGGGATGGAGAGAGGAGGCAGAGCACAGCGTGGGAGAGAATGAAGGTGTTCTAGGCCAAGGTTAAGCAGTTAAACCAGTGATTCTCAACCTTGGCTGCACATTAGAATCACCTGGGAATCTTTTTAAAATCCTGATTTCCGGGCCTCATCCTCCGGAAATTCTGTTTCTTTGTTACTAATGTTGTGGCCCCACCCCATAACAAAGAAACGAAACTTCCGGAGGATGAGGCCCAAAAATCAGGATTTTAAAAAGATTCCCAGGTGACTCTAATGTGCAGCCAAGGTTGAGAATCACTGGGTTAAACAGTAGCACAGAGATGGGAGAGACTGACCTAAGAGAGCCCCTGCTTTTCCAGTGTCTTTGGGGGTAAAAGAACAAAACAAGACACAACTACATGTTGCCTACAAGAAACCCACTTGAACATAAAGACACAGCTAGATCACGAGTAAAGGGATGGAGAAAGATGTACCACGCTAACAGTAAGCAAAAGAAAGCCAGGCATGCTCTGTTAGGGCATCTGGGGCAGGAGCTGTGGGGATGGCGAGGCAGGGCCTGGAGCAGAGCACACTTCCTGCAGAAGTCCAGCTAAAATCATGTAAATTCTTAAAGGCGGGGCCAGGGGTCTGAGGGTTTCAACCCCATTTCCCCAGCACAACGCCTGGCCCAGCGGAGGTGTTCCTGCATGAACTGTTCGTTGACGGGAAGGATGGGGGGAGGAGGTGGTATCTGTTCACATCCAGGTGTGCAGCCTGGCTTTGCCACTTACACCGGCCCCTGTGGCCCCAGCCCGGCTGGGACCGCTTGGCCCTAATTGACCATCTGCCCGCAGGTTTCATGCCAAAGAGAGGTCTCGACGTGTCCACCTGTGAGATCTTCCGCTTCTACAAGCTGATCACAACCAAAAGCGTCATCGAGCCGATATCCATGATCGTCCCCCGGCGGGTAAGGGTGGTGGGGGGTCTGCAGGGAGGCGGGAACCCTTCCCAAGAAGACTATCCCCGGAGCCTGGAGCCCACGCCCGAGGCAGCAACAGGGAGGCTGGTGGCCACTTCCTCAAGGGGCAGGCCTTTCCGTGGTCAGTGAGGCGTCCTGGGAGCTAGGAGTCCTGACTCTTGCCTCACCTCTGCTCTTGAGTTGCTGTGTGATGACCTTGGGCATGACCCTTTGCTCTCTGACCCCCAGCTCTCTAAGGGCCCTCCCGTGGGCGGCCTCCCCACCACCCACTTCTCACTGTCCTGACTTCTCCTGCAGTCGGAATCCTACCAAGAGGACATCTACCCGCCCACAGCAGGGGCCCAGCCCTCTCTAACGGCCAGGGAGTGGCTCAGTGGGGTAAATAAAGGTGAGGAAAGCCCAGAAGAGGCCTCGGACGGGCGAATGTGGGGGGAAATGGCGTGTCCTATGGCCCAGATGGCTGAGAGGGGGTTGGACTGTATTTGTATTCTCCTGAAACCCCGAGGACTGGTCCTTCACCATCAGTCCCCCGCCCCTGGGACGGTCAGATAGGGTCCAGGAAGGCAGGGACTTGCCCCGAGTGGCTCAGAACATTCCCTCCAAGTCAAGGGATTTTGCTCCATGGAAAACTACTAAGGTCTGGGCTGTGCAGAGTGACTGGATAGTGTCAGCTGGACCCTATGCCCATCCTCCCACCTGCACCTCCACAGTCACTCCAGAGGCCCTCTATGCAGCAGCCCCCACCCAGGCCCTTGGGTGCCCTCCGCCTGCCCTGACTCACCCTGCCTGTCCTGTCCACATGAGGGCCAACCCAGGGAAGGCCGTGGGTGCTCCCCACTCTAGCTGCTGCCTCTCTGATTGGGATCTCCCTCTCCTTCTACCCACCAAACCCCGCTTGTGTATAACCCGTAGACAGTCTCGCTCCTCCCTGGACCTCAGTTTCCTCACCCTTCTCTGTGAGCCTGCCTCCCCTGCTACCCAGCGTGCTGGGGGGAATTCATGACTTGATGGATGGCAGGGCGGTGTGGTGGGACTGTCCCTACAAAGCAAGGGCCACGCTTCCCTGAGGAGCTTGCAGAACCAGGGCAGCTCCAGGGCATGCACCGTGCTGCTTCTACAAGCCAGGCTTCCTTAGGAGGTCACATGCGCGGGACCCTGATTCGCACTCTGAGTGCCCCGGTCCGTGGGCTTGTGCCTGTCTGCATGTGGCCGAAGCTCCCACACCTTTTGCGTGTCTGTGTGTCTGCGCATGCCTGCTTGTGCCAGTGCCCCCATGCCCATGTGCTTATGGGCACTCAGTCCTCACACGGCCTTTGCTTCCCTCCCAGGGCCTGTCCTGGTGTCCCTGAGGCCCGGCTCCGAGCTGCTGAGCCCTCGGCCTCTGCCCCCAGAAAGACCTCCCTCCAACTCCCTGTCCCCCACCTCGCCTCACCTCGTGGACCAGACCGAAGCGCTGGTTGCGGAAGATGGCCGGAGGCCCTTCTCTCTGCTCGAGGAGAAGGCGCCAAGGTGGACGGCAGAGCACAGGCTGGAGGAGAAGAAAACCTGGCTCACAAACGGCTTTGACATCTTCGAATGCCCCCCACCAAAGACAGAGAACGAGGTGGGAAGGAGGGTGGGGGTGCCTGCACTGGGGTGGGGGTGGAGAAGGGGGCAGAGACGTGAGGGGTGAGAAAAGTCACCAGCTGTGTGGCCTGGCTAGCTACTTACTGGCAATTCACTTGGTTCATTCACTCAACAAACAGGCAGGGAGCACCGTCTGTATGCCCCGGCGGTGGGCTTGCATGCAGAGGGTGGAGAGCCAGCTGTAAAATGGAGAGGGTTTTGCTCGGTGGGTATCAGCACCCCTCCAGTTCTGACACTGTATCTGTGCTTTCAGAGCCAACATTTGTTAAGTGCCGGCTGCGTGCCAGGTCCCACAGTGGGCACTGATGTATCATCTGTGTGCGTTCTCAGCAGCCCTGGGAGTCAGTGGGTCGTGGCTAAAAACTCAAGGGCTGCCCTCTCACGGCGGGATTCTCATCCTAGCTCTCCTGAGCACTGCCTGCCGGACGCTGGCCACAGGGGCCGAGTCTCTCTTAGCTCCAGTGTCCATAGCGGTAAAGTGGGGGCACTAACACCACGACCCTCACGGGGCCGTTGTGCGCATCCGGGGAGATAACGAAGATCCTTACTTAGGGAAGCACCCAACACCTGGTGCCTTTCTGCACAGCGGCAGCAGCTGTGATAATGCTGGCGTTAGTTTTCTGACCCCCATTTCCCAGAGGAGGAAGTTAAAGCTCAAAGAGGGAAAGTAACTTGCCTGAAGTCACACAGTTTAGTGGTGGTGAAAACTCCAATCTCCAGACACCAGGACCAAATATCCTTTCCTCCATCCCATAGGGGCATCTAAGGAGGCAAAAACAAAACAAAACAAAAGCCATACACACACACACACACACACACACACAAGTCTGAAATGCCAAGTCTTTTAATTTCATTTACTAGGTGAAGGAAACAAGGTTTTTGTAAAAGATCAATGCAATGGCTGTCCCCGTAGGCCTCAGCCACGTTAATTTAATCACCTCCACCTTTCTGAGTCCAAAGGGGACAATGTTTTATCCTTTCTGCTGGGGTCCTGCCCCCTCAAGTCCCAGGGCATTTACGTTGCCTTTCCCTCTGCTCTGTGCTCTCCCAGCTGCTGCAGATGTTCTATCGGCAACAGGAGGAGATCCGGAGACTCCGGGAGCTGGTGACCCAGCGCGAGGTCCAGGCCAAGCAGTTGGAACTGGAGATCAAAAACTTGCGGATGAGCTCAGAATGGTCCTGAGCAGAGGTCTCCGCCCTCCTCGCCCTCAGGGACACCACTTGGCTCCATGGGGAGGTCCAGAACCAAACCACAAGTCCCCCGAGAACAACCACTATTTCTATATTTTTTACCAGAAAAAGAAACCCAGTCGCCGCAGGTTTCCAGTGGAACATGGTGCCGCTTTCTATTTGCCTTCTCGAAACAACGGTGTCTGAATTGACTCTTTTTAGATGACACCTTGCCTTCTGTTTGATTCTGTTTGTAAGGGTACGTGATAAGCTCTCACTTCCCAAGGGAAAGAACACTGTGGAAAGTTAGAGCTACAAGGACCTAGGAGGTAAACCTGCCTGTGATTTTCAAACTGTGGTCTATAGAATGGGGCAGGCCAAGCAGGAGACTGTACCCCCTCACCCGCTTCCGACGGGACAGCTCTCCTTTCTGTTTTATACATATGGACTTGGATGGAATACACAATTCTGCGACTCAAAAAAATTTAGAAGTTTGAAAACCAGTGATTTGGCCCAACTTTCTCATTTTACAGGTGGGGAAACTAAGGCCCAGAGAGAGGCACATGCTGCAGGTCCCCAGAGAGTGCGTGGCTGGGCTGAGCTTCTGCGCTCCTGGGACTGTCTGTCTGCTGTTTCTGCTCTGATCCAGTTCTCAGCCCACAGAGCAGGAATCCGTTGGCTCTGGCCTCAGGGGCATCCCTGATTTGAAATTGCCTCCAGTCATTCCCTCTCTGGTCTCAATTTCTCCATCTGAACAAGGAGGCCCTGGGATCTACCACTGGAGACAAGAAATGTTAGCCTTGGCCTAAGGAAAATTACCTGTAGGGTGGTGAGCTGGTTTTGCGCTGGGAACTTACAAGACATTGGCAAAGGTGCAGGGGGAGGTTAACTTCAGACAAAGAAGTCAAGGTCCAGCCAGATTCTAGAATACAAGGAAATGGACAACACCATCCTCTCTCCAGCCAGAATCAGCCCAGGCGGGTAGATACTCCCTGATGTGGGACACGGGCCTCAGGGCATTGCTCAAACCCAACAGCCACCAAAGCCCTCAGGTCACAGAGCCTGCCTCTGCCAGGATGACGTAGGCAGGTGTCCGTCCAAGGTAACAGAAGAGGCTCCCAGGATGTAGGGTGCCCAGTGTGGACAGTTTGCCCGCGAACCCCCTGGCGGCCCAGCCGTGAGGGCTTTGGGAGGAGGAGGGTTGTACTAGGCAAGGAAGCGAGACCACATGGCCCTAAAGTTCCCTTCCAACCTGTGCGTCTTCTGCATCCCTCCTTTGTGAATCTGTGTTCTGAGCCCTTCTCTGAGGTTCTCTCTTGGTCAATACAGTGGCTCAGCTAGAGGCAAATGTGCCTCCTGACCAAGGATGTTTGCCCCTTGCACAGGGTAATGCTGGAGCTAGGATGGGGACTGCAGGAGGCCACCTGGCCTGGTAGGCTTCAGCCCAGGCTGTCCATTCGAATCCCTTCGGGAGCATTCAGGAAATACCGATGGCCAGGCCCAACCCCGACCAATCGAAGCTGAATCAGCAGAGTAGGGCCTGGCCTTGTGTAGGGTTTTGTAAGTTCCCATGTGATTCTGCAATACATGGGGTGGAGACCCCATGGGCTAATCCATCTGTACCCGTCTACACTACAGATGAGGACAAGGAGCACCAGGCAGGTGCTGGGACTCCAACTCTGTCTGCTAAGTCCTCTAAGGCTAAAATCAGGAAGCTTTGTTCTGAGCCTTCCTCCAGGTCTCTGCCCCCGGCCCTGTTCCCACAGGATGGGGGCTCTGATTGCGCCCTCCCTTAGCCATGACTGAGTTCCCCTGTCTGCTGCACATACCAGACACCCCAGTTGCTTGTCTTATCCACCATTTACTCAGCCGCTGGGGCCCGCCAAGCTTGCCAAAGACCAAATCCTAGGTGGTGTCAGGAAAGCAGAATTCTGGACGGGGGTCATCTCTCCTGCCTCATTTGGGGCCAGCACTTCACAGTTTACAAAGCCCTCCAACCTCCACTCGCTGACACATCTAACTCTCACTCGGGTCAGGCAGACATGATTACCCCATGTTCAGGAGGGAAGGTGAGCCTTAGAGAATAAGGAAACGGCCATGCCCGTAGGCACTGGCTACAAAGTGGTGGAGGTGGGGCTGAGTCTGGGGAGCTTCCTGAATGTCGCAAACTCTCTCCACCCCAAAGGGGCCCAGACCTCACACTTCGAAACAATGCGAAGGCATCATGAACAAATGGTTTCTCTTCTTTTCTTTTTTTTTTACATCTAGAGTAAATTATTTAAATTATTTCACAGCAAGGGAGTGGGATAGGTAATTTTTATCAGATATTTTTTTAAGCCATTTTTTAAAAATTACTTTTTTGTTTTATGTTCTTGATTGATGAAGTGGGACTTGCCCGGAACTTGCAGGGCCAGTCCCTTGCGCTCAGGGCGACGGAATGTGCACTGGTCTTTCTACCCCAGGCCCTGGGAACCCCCAACTGCTGACTCAGGAACTTTCCGAGCATGAAGACAGCACTGGGAGATGAGCTTCAGGGCATCTCCACCTTAGCGCGACAGTAATTGTTCTTCCTGGAACAAAACTTGAGTATCATAGAGGGACGCAGGAAGTCAGACATTGAGCTATGCTTTTCCTATGAAACCGTGCCTGAACAGTTTGATTGTTTTAATGTTGTTTCTGAAATTCCTTGTACCTTTGTAAAAAAAAAATAATAATTATAATAATAATAATAAAAGTGAAAATAAATAGATGTGGAATCGTGCTATGGAAAGAATATAACAAAATAAACAGTATCTGCCTACACATTTTAATACATGGAACCTTCCTTTTCTTGACTTGTTCCACAAATAACAAGTAAGCACCTGCTTTTCCAGGCTGGGAAATAGGTAAAAGGGAATTTGTCCCTGCCCTCTGAAGTTTTAAGTCACGGTTGGAGAGAGAGGGAGGGCCAGGAGAGGGGAAATGTTGGCTGCTTTGGGAGGAGAAGCAAAGAAGTCTTCCTGGAGCAGGTGATATTTAGGCAGAAACTGAAGGATAAATAGGAGCAAGCAGGGCGGTGAGCATTTGGGGGAAGTGTGTTCGAAGCAGATAAAACTGCCTGTTCCCTGGCCTGGAAATAAGCCAAGATTAGAGCATAGACAGGGCAGAGATTAAGGGTATTAAAAGTCAAGGGCCTCACCCTGGAGTGGTTAGAGTGTCGGCCCATGCACAGAAGGGTCTCGGGTTTGATTCCCGGTCAAGGGCACGTGCCTGGGTTGCAGGTTCGATCCCCATGACTGGGGCCACGTGAGGGAGGCAACCAATCAATATATCTCTCTTACATGATTTTTCTCTTTCTCCCCCTCCCTGCCTCCCTTCCACTCTCTCTAAAAATCAATGGGGAAAATATCCTTGGTTCAGGATTAACAACAACAAAAAAAGCCAAAGGCCTTATAGATGAGAGCTGCCCGCACCCGCCTCCCCCGGCTTTATTGAGGTATGATTGATAAAAACTGTACGTATTTAGGTTGCACATGGTTTTTTTAAGTTTCACTATGTGATGGTTTAATATATGCACACACTGTGAAATGATCATCACAATCAACTTTTTTTTTTTTTTTTAGATTCCCCATATAGGTGATACCATCTAGGTCTTCCTCTGTCTGGCTTACTTCACTTGTTATAAAGACTTCCAGGCTCATCCATGGTGTAAGTGGCAGGACTTCTGTTCTTAGGTCTGAGTAACATTTCACTATATATGCTTATGCCACATCTTCTTTATCCATTCATCCCATTGAGGGACACTTCAGTGGTCTCTATATCTTGGCATTGTGAATACTGCTGTAATGAACACGGGAGTGCAGCTATCTCTTCAACATTCTGACTAGAAGTGGGATTGCTGGGTCATATGGTAGTTCTATTTTTAATTTTTGGAGGAACCTCCACACTGTTTTCCATAATGGCTGTACCCATTTACTAGGTGTACCGGTTAATAATGCGGATTTTTTCAATAGATGGAGTTACACATATGTTGATATATATGCGATTTGATATGTATGCTATTTTGTTGTATTGACAGCAAGCTTCAGAACTTCATATGTCAAATTTTCTGAAGGTGTTACCATCATAGATATTTTTATGCTTAAAAATGTCGAATTTCGTGCCAAAAAAGCATTTGCAGGAAGTTTTTTTTTTTAATTTTTTACAGAGAGGAAGGGAGAGGGATAGAGAGTTAGAAACATCGATCAGCCGCCTCCTGCACAATCCCCACTGGGGATGTGCCCGCAACCAAGGTGCATGCCCTTGACCGGAATCGAACCCGGGACTCTTGAATCCGCAGGCCGATGTTCTATCCACTGAGCCAAACCAGTTAGGGCTGCGGGAAGTTTTAATTCATTACCTTATTTTGAAGAAAAGTGCTGCTGAAAGTTATCGTATACTTCCGGAAGCTTATGGTGAACATGCTCCATCTCAAGATACTTGTGAACGCTGGTTTAAACACTTTAAAAGTGGTGATTTCGATGTGAAAGACAAAGAAAGTCCAGGTCAACCGAAAAAGTTTGAAGACCAACAATTACAAGCATCATTGGATGAAGATGCATGTAAAACTCAAAAACAACTTGCAGGAAGATTAAACGTTGCTCAGCAAACAATTTCTGATTGCTTACAAGCAATGGGAAAGTTTTTAAAGGAAGGAAATAGGTGCCACATCAACTGAATGAAAGACAAATGGAAAACCGAAAAGTCATCAGTAAAATGTTGCTTCAACAGCACGAAAGGAAGTCTTTTTTGCATCGAATTGTGACTGGCGATGAAAAGTGGATTTATTTTGAGAATCCCAAACGCACAAAATCATGGGTTGATCCAGGTCGACCATCAACATCGACTGCAAGGCCAAATGGCTTCGGAAAGAAAACAATGCTCTGTGGTTGGTGGGATCAGGAAGGTGTGGTGTATTGTAAGCTTCTAAAATCAGGTGAAACTGTTAATACTGATCGCTACCAATAACAAATAGTCAATTTTTAACCCGTACCGGTTAAAAATGCAGATTGACCATTTACCGGTTAGTAATGTGAATTTTGTAATCAAAGAAAACACGATAATTTCAAGAGAAACATCAAAAGTGCTTTATTCAAAGTAATGTCCATCGCTAGCTACACATTTCCCCCATCTTTCAGGTAATTTGTGGATACCATTCCAATAGAACTTTTCTTGTTTTGAGGCAGACCATTCAGAGACCCAATTTTCCACTTCTTCGTATGTTTTGAAGTGCTGCTCAAAAAGTGTGTGTGCCATCGATCGGAACAAGTGGTAATCTGAAGGAGCAAAGTCTGGTGAATACGGCGGGTGGATTAATACTTCCCAGGCAAGATCTTTTAATGTGTCTTTAATTGGTTTTGAAGTGTGTGATGGTGCGTCATCATGAAGCAAAATTACTTTGCCGTGTCTTCTGGCCCATTCTGGTGGTTTTACAATCAAAGCGTGGTTCAAATTGATTATTTGTTATCGGTAGCGATCAGTATTAACAGTTTCACCTGATTTTAGAAGCTCACAATACACCACACCTTCCTGATCCCACCAAACGCAGAGCATTGTCTTCTTTCCGAAGCCATTTGGCCTTGCAGTCGATGTTGATGGTCGACCTGGATCAACCCACGATTTTGTGCATTTGGGATTCTCAAAATAAATCCACTTTTCATCGCCAGTCACAATTCGATGCAAAAAGGACTTCCTTTCGTGCTGTTGAAGCAACATTTTACTGATGACTTTTCGGTTTTCCATTTGTCTTTCATTCAGTTGATGTGGCACCCATTTCCTTCCTTTAAAATCTTTCCCATTGCTTGTAAGCAATCGGAAATTGTTTGCTGAGCAACGTTTAATCTTCCTGCAAGTTGTTTTTGAGTTTGACACGCATCTTCATCCAATAATGCTTGTAATTATTGGTCTTCAAACTTTTTCAGTTGACCTGGACGTTCTTAGTCTTTCACATCGAAATCACCACTTTTAAAGCGTTTAAACCAGCGTTCACAAGTCTCTTGAGATGGGGCATGTTCACCATAAGCTTCCGGAAGTATCCGATAACTTTCAGCAGCACTTTTCTTCAAAATAAGGTAATGAATTAAAACTTCCCGCAAATGCTCTTTTTTTTGGCATGAAATTCGACATTTTTAGGCGTAAATATATCTATGTTAACACCTTCAGAAAATTTGACATATGACGTTTTGAAGCTTGTTGTCAATACAACAAAATAGCATACATATCAAATCACATATATATCAACATATGTGTAACTCCATCTACTGGAAAAAAAAAACAAAAAACCCTGCATTATTAACCGGTACACCTAGTACATTCCGTTGAGGCTGAGACTTTAACCTGGGGGCAATTGGAGTTTCCAGGGTGTTTCTTAAAAATGTGGGAATGGTTATTTCTCCTGGGGAAATGGCGAGAGAGAATCAAGGGAAAGTGAAAAGTGTAGGTAAATGCATACCACCCGGAAGGCCACAGCTAACTTGGCCCCATCGACAGGGTAGACTGTCCTCACTAAAGGGTGGGGGAGCCCACCTCCTTCCAGTCAGCCCAATAGGAATGTGAAAGTAAAGGGAGCCCTCATTTAGAGTCGGGAGGCCAGAAGGGGGAGCCCTCAGGCACTACCCTCTAAGTCAATACACGCCCCACCGGGAAGAATTGTCAATACGAGTGGGTGCCCCCTGACTACTCCCCCAGGAAGATTTCCTTGTTGCCCAGCAACTCAGCCAATGAGAAGCTGTCAGCGCCCTGAACTCCCACTTTCCTTTAATGGACTTTCCTTCAGAACGACCGCTCCCAGTGCCCTCCTGGTCGGACTTGCCTATGGTTTTTACAATAGCTTGCTCGTCCCGAATTGCAATTCCTCTGCTCTGCCCCACTAAATCCATTTTGCTGGGGAAAGAGCCGGTTGTTTTGTTTTTAAGGGGTGCAGGAGCGGCCCCCCATTTCTGCTGCGGCCACCACCTCTAGGCCAGGCACAAAGCCGCTAGACCAGGCCTGAGCCTTCAAGGACCGTGGGGGCAGGTGGGGCGGGCGAGCACCCTGCGGGTCAGGAGGGTGAGGAGGCAGCCACGGTCCCCTCACCCCGCCCCCGGCCGTGGCCCGCTGCCATCTTCCATCCCAGCGCGGGGCCGGCCAGAGCCAGGGCCCCGCCCCGCCCCGCCGTCCGGTTTCGATTCCCCACCAGCGCTCCTCCTGCACCAGCGACGCCGAACAGTGGGAGTGAATGGCGGGCGCGGGGGCCCTAAGCCGAACACCTGGGGGGCCGGGCCCCGCCGAGTCGGAGGACGCGTGCGGCTGGCGCTGCCCAGAGCATGGCGACCGCGTGGCCGAGCTCTTCTGTCGCCGCTGCCGGCACTGTGTGTGCGCGCTCTGCCCGGTGCTGGGCGCGCACCGCGGCCACCCGGTGGCCTGGCTCGGGAAGAGGCGGCGCACGTGCAGGTGGGGACGCTGTGTGCGCGCGGGGCGGGAGCGCGGGGGGCGCGGGGCGAGCCCGGGGTCCACCCGCCAGTTCCCCAGTTCCCGTTAGGACCCGGAAACCCCAAGGCAGCCCGGCGGCCGACCTAGGTATTGTTCATAATGAGAACGAATGCGAGCCACGGCCACCAGTCTACCTGCAGAACAGGTGGGTTTGAGAGTGAGGACGCGGGAGCCTTGGCTGTTTCGCATGTACCCTTGACCTCGTCCACCATGGCGGACCCGCCACACTGCTCTGGGGCCAGAAGAAAATCTGCCTGTTAGCTAGATTAAAATCCCTTTCTACGGGAAAACAGCCTGGCAGCCTGGGAAGCTACATAAATGT